GCTTAGGGTGGAATGCTACCGCAAGTTCGGTTGAAGACATACATCCATGTATCATTATTGGGGAGAAAGATGGAATGCTACCGCACGGCCGGTCAAAGACATACATCATGGAGAGCGCGACGGAAGTAGGAAAACGGCTGCAACGCTATCGTGAAGACGATTGAAGACGTGCGCCGAAAATGTAGGGACAGGTAGATGGACATGTAGCGCTATCGCTCTCGAGCGATCGAAGACGAACATGCCAAATTACAATAATGTTTATTCACATGACGCAAGCCGACCATGCAATGGAAGGTGTGTTGTAAGAAGTTGAGAATACATTGATACTAATAACTAAAGTCGTGCTGTCCAGCAGCGTATAAAGCAGGTCATTCCTTCATCATCCCACGTCATTCCCGTCATAAACCGTAGTTAGAAAGGACAGAAATCGTAACATCATCGAGAGCATGAGCAAACCATAATCATGATCGTAAATGTGATCACCTAACAGCCGCACCCTTCCGATACGTCTTTGTTTTCTCATCCCATCCATCATCCCCCGCTCTCCTACTCCCCCGATGACTCCTCCTCTCGCTCCCAGCATAATCGCTTTTACTCCTCTGATCGGCATACTTCCTCCCACCGTAGCCACCCAGCACCAATCCGGCTGCTGTGCCTAAGCCAGGGAAGATCACATCCCCGATGATCGTGCCTGCGCCTGCGCCGAGGAACGTATCTCTGTTCTTGTGCTTGTCCTCGTGTGCCTTGTCAAACGAGTGTGACTTGCGCGGTTTGTGTCTGCGTTCGTTGCGCGAGCGGTCGCGATCGCGAGAGGTGGAACGGTCGCGGGTGGAGTGGCTATGATGGCGGTGGTGTCTGTTGCTGTTGCTGTGCCGGGGTGGAGAGTAGTCGTCCGAGTCGGACACGGAGCCTAGACTTGTGCTGCGGTCGGAGTCTTGGTCTGCGAAACGGACGCGCGCGGGCTGCGAGTGGCTTCTGTAGGGTTGTAGAGGGGCACCGAAGTAGCCGTTGTTTCGGGGCATCGGCTGTTGGGGTGGGTAGTAGCCGCCTGCTGGTGGTGTTTGTGGGTATGGCGCTGTCATGGCGTGGGCGTTCTTCTTCTCTGGGTAGTACTGGCGTTGCTGTTGTTGAGGAGGATAGCCATGAGGTTGTTGCGGAGGCGGCTGAGGATATGCTGAGTATGATGGAGGTGGCGTGTTCGCATATGGAGGATTGCTAACGTGTGGCCGTGGAGGTTGCGCAGGTGGTTGTTGGTATTGTGGCGGCTTTGGTGGCTGCGGTGGATATGGGTTTGGCGGGTGGCTACCTGGCAGTTCATGCGCAGCCGCTGTACCTAGATAATACTCTTGCGCTGCCATGTCTTTTAATCTCTCGGAGTATTTGCTGATGATGTTATTGGTTTGGAGGAAGAAGGTATGACTGGAGATAAATGTAGGTACGATGTAGATGAAGATGCAAAATACGAAAGACAACACGATCACAAGGCCTTGGCTAAATAAATACCAAGAGCGCGTGCAACTGTCACCAGTCCGTAGAAAGTACGACGTTGATACGTCATTCGATCAACGGATCTGCTTCGGGAACGCTTAGCATGCAGCTCGGCCTATCCGGGGAGCTCGGCAAGCTTGTCAGCACGAGGCTCACATAAGGTTGATCTATGGCGAAGTCCGGAGGGAACTTCCGGCACTTTCTTTGCGCGACGGAAAGCTGACGTGATGAAAGAAGAACAAAGAACCGTTGACTCAGAAAAGGTCATGCGTACGTTATTAAAAAGTGGTACTTGCCCGCGGGCTGTTGGGGTATCGATCATAAAAATGTGTCTATGTTGTGTTCAATGCAACGCCACAACTAGACCAAACGCCAAGAAGGAAAGGGAGGGTCCCGCTCCAATGAGCGTTCTCATTATCCCTGGCTGCGCAACACAAGGCGCTGGGCAGATTCCTTAGGATTTCGTCGCCACTCCTGTGGTCACGAGTGGAATGTTCTGCGCTTCTTCGTCGTCTCGCTGGTCTCCATAATCCCTACGCATGGGCACACCTTCGACTTTCTTGACGTTTTTGCCCTCGTGCCACATCATGATGCCTGCAGCACCCGCCACTCCGCATCCCAGAGCCACGAACAGACCAGTAGCCCAGGAAGGCCGGTCGATGCGATTATAGTGCCACATGTAGAAGCATAGAACCACCTGGAAGAAAGTATTCCATACATTCATCCATATGACGAAATCCATCTTCCAGCTCTTAGTGGGTGGGGCGCGAATCGCCGTGGGCGGTGGGTCGGGGATCATCTGGACGGGAATTGGTACAGCTGGATCTTCGGGATCGACGACGGTTGCGCCTGCTTTGTCAGGCAGCCGATCTGAACCTGGAAGCCGAAACCATCCCCGATGTATGCCAGCAAGACGTCTGATGCCCGTCTCCGTGCGGGCTGATCCTCCGATTCTCCAACAAGCCCAGTAGTATAGATCGCGGAACCTCCAAGGCGCGAGACCAAACCCTGTGACGCAGAAAAGGGCGTTGAGGATTTGCGAATCGTACTCGACCCACTTCCGGCGCGGGGAATTGATGTCGTCACAGGTAGGTGTACACATGGCGGGTGCGGCGTTACAGAGTAGGAGGAAGAGCATACCGCCCCAGGCGACGACGTTCAGGCCGTAGAGCGTGATGAGAAAGCCGGCGGGTGTGAGGAACCACTTCCAAAAGCCTTTAAGCCCGATCATGAACGATTTCTTCCACGGCAACTTGGGAGGTGGTACGTAGCCGTTGACATACTGCGCCATGATTAGCATGTTTGTCTGGATGGTGGAGGAGAAGACGTACCCGTCCTGATGATGTCCGTTTTGGCTGCTGCGGCCTATCGTCGTCAAAGTGCTCTGTCGCGGATCCGGAGCCGTGCTTTGATTGTCTGCCGGTATTGGGCCGCTCGTCGTAGCCATCGTATCCCGCAACTTGTCTTGTATCCTCTTCAGCTAGAGCAGGAAAGGCTTCGGTGTTCAATGCATTGCTCGACGAGACCTTGCGTTGACCACCGAAAGACGGACGCTCAGATTGATCTATCGGTGATGCTGCGTTGGTGGAAGCTCGCGACCGCTGCTCGCCCTGGCTTGTTCGTGAACCTGCTCTCTTCCGTTGCGAGTCTTCGTTCCATCCGTCAGAACCAAATGAGCCCTTTCTGATGTCCGTTATCGAAGGTGCTTTGGCGGCAGTCGTCCCTGCGGCAGCCCACATGCCGGGCGGCGGGTTCACGTCCATCAATTTACCAGTCGCGGTACGGATCTTGTTGGAGACGATGGAGGCATTGGTGGAGGTTCGTTCGCGCGTCTTGGTAGAGGGCGACTCTGCGGTAGGGTTGCGAATACCCTCGGGCTGAGGAAACGGCACTGGCGTTGGTACGTTGCTATTCGGGGAAGCCATGGCTGGCGAGAGTGAAGTGCACGCTCGCGCTTGTTTTGTAGGAGATTCGCCCCGTTGAAGCGCGTGTGCGGTTCGACGTGTCAGCCAAGTTGTTGATCGCTGGTACGATTGGCAATGTCACAGTGCCTTGGCGAGATCCCTGCTTTCCGGTTGCTATCACTTGGGCCGGTATAGGGGTGCTTGTATGAAACCGGCTTCGAAGAATAGCAGGAGCCGTCTGAAAATCGACATGGTTGCGAGTGCTGGGCACCCAAGGTTATATGGTGTTGGCGCTGGCGTGGAGGGAAGGAGACGGCCTAGATTGTTGTAGACGCGGCTCCTGCCAACCCCAGACCCACTGACGTGCAGCGCGTATAAGCCACCGTTAGATGCCCGGGTGGCTATACGAATACGCGAGAGGTACTTCGCCACACGTAATGGCGTCGCAGTCCGCGCGTCACGGTTAGACTTGCGAGATACATTAGAGTCTTGGATGATTATTGTTCTTTGTTTATGTATCGTATTCAGCAGAGTTTTACTGCGAATGCACCTTTCTACAATGGTCCTATCGTTCGAGTGCATGCAGTATTGGCAACCGGAGTCGCTCCGACGCGCACCAACGCAGCCGTCGCATTGACAACACAAAACAAACAACTGATTTGAACAGTCTGACACCCTCGCTCTCAACCCAATACCCACAAGAAAGCCAGAGCGCCGGCAATAGCGACAACGACGGGCATGTCGCGACCCCTGGCTGCGGCAGCGTTTTCTGTCTGCTCTGGTAGACCAGAGCTAGTCGCACTCGCGGCTGAGCCAAGGCTCGAAGAAGGCGTGTCAACAGCGCCGCTAGAGATGGGAGTCTCGCCCTCAGGAATTGACATGGCACCAGTGGAGTCTTGAGGGGGGATTGATACGTCCGTTACAGTGGGCATAGGAACAGGCGTTGTGACGACGGAGATGCCAGACTGTGGTGGAATTGACACGTCCGTCACGGTGGGCATGGAAACCGGAGGGATGACGGACACGTCCGTTACACTGGGCATAGAAACCGGGGGAACGCTCATCATGCTGCCGGTGCCTACTATTGTTAAACACATTGCGCGACAGGCCGAAGAGGGTGTACTTACATGCCGGGCATGGAGGCTGAACGCACTCCATGTAGCACGACCATGGGTCGACATCATCAGTAGCGGTCTGAGTCTGAATAGTATACAGTGCTTCAGACTCCGGCGTAGGACTGACGAATGGCGAGGTCGCGACTGAGGGTGTATCGTCTTGGGCAACGGCAACGCTAGCCAGAAGCAGAAGTGTGGGGATGGAGATTGCTGCGAGCATGACGACGGCCTTGGAAAGATGATTGAATGTTTCTTGGAAGTTTCGAAGGAGTCTTGAACTGCGAAAATAACCCAACTGGACAAGCTATAAGAATGGACGCTGTCTGCTGCCTAGGCCGCGTCGCCCCTTCCCATAGTCGCTCGGCAGCCTTCGCGTGACTGGCGGGGTGTTTTTTGAGATCTTCGCTCCTTCCACAACCGAGTAGCTTCGTCGACGTGCGAAACCTTGCACCACCAATAGTCCCCCAGCACTTCTCCGCGCCCAGCCTCCAGTATGACGACAGTCGCCGTAACGACAGAGATGAAACGTGCCGTTGCGCCCGCCGCGCTGCAGACGTTCGTATCAATCGCTCCCGAGGCAGCCGCAGCATCAAGCCACCTTCCGAATGAGTTATCGCTCGCCCGCCAGATACTGCACAACCTCCAGTACCAGCACTATTGGTCCGACCTCCACGTACACACGCACTCACCGACTACTCACGAGCCCCTTCCCCGCCCGCTGGTCTCTGGGCTGCCCCCGCGCCGTCTCTACGTACACCCCGACGAGCAGGTGGAGCTGCTGAAGAAAGCCGACCGCGAACGGAAGGCGCGCGCCGATGGCGAGGCAGGTGGCTTGGATGTCAAGGCAGAGCCGGAGCGTGAATGGATACTGCCCACCAGGCTGAACGAGAAGTGGACGCTGCGTCGGCTGGCCCACGTCTTCGATGCCATCACCATGGTCCCGCCGGCAGCAGACGCGTCGACAATAGAGGGGGACCGCCCTACCAACCCTTGGAGAACAACGAAGCGCGTACTATTAGCGTCGGTAGACACGGACAGCACAGTCGTCTACTACATTGTGCACGATGGCGTCGTGAAGCCCCGCCAGAACTGAACAAGGCCTTGCGCCAGTTGTCGCACACATCTACTATCGCAGCGCATATTGCACAGGCTGTCACGGAAAGGACACGTGCGAGATATTTCATACTGCTACGAAGGACCGAACAGTTCTCAGCTACGTCCACTGACATACTCAGCGTCCACGACCCTCATGGGATCTCAGGGAAGATGAAATCTCCCGGCTTCGGCATCTCGTAGAAACGGCTCATGTTCACCTCCGTCTCTGGTGGGAGCTGGTGCGCCTCCGCCCACTCTCGAACCTGCTCATAGTCCCGGCATCGGTGCCTTGTGTTGAAGTCCACGAATGGCGTCGGGTCTGGCATAGTGTCGGCCTGCCACCACACTTGACCAAGTACACCTACGTCTGGATTACACATGAGCACCTGCCTTATTATATCCAAGCAGTGCGTCGTGTGTACTCGCACGATGTACTCGCTATTGACGAAGGGTCCTTCCTTCTTTGCCGAATAATAGGAATAGTTCCAATATAGGGTTTTACGGAGAAGGTCCTTCGAAACGTTAGTGATGTATTGTCTGCTACCTGATCTTGCTGCATACCAGACAGTGCAAGTGATGGAGGCCTTCTACGTTCGCTGGGAAGCCACCTCCATACTCTTGGCTGACTTTCACCTGGTCGTGCCGCAATCCGGTTCGCTCAGCTTCATCGTCGGGTATCACAACACTCCGATCTAGTATGGGAATCAGAACTGAGTGTGCGCGTTGCTGGTACTGCTAGACGATCGACTTACAATTGACACCCAGCGCATCCCATGCAGCATCAACTTCTGGTCCTGCTGGTTGGCGATAGATGTTCTGATGAAGAAAGCTACCGTTGAACAACTGCGTATGCCAATTTGGTTTCACATCCCGGACGACCGGTGCTGTTGCCATCAGTACCGACATGTGTTCTTCGAGAGTCCGTTACATACAGTATCGCGAAACATGATGGATACAAAAGTCATCTGGGTCGGAGATCAAAGCTGAACTGTTCACAGTGAAGGCTATCCACAAAGCAGCACCTACGTATACGATGGTACATGCTATGAGGGTCCTCACTGCGACTCGGACATCGCGGCTCGATCCTTGGAACGCTGGTGATTTAAGCGTCAGTAAGGTCGACGAAGAAGAGCCAGGCAAAAGAGTGTCGTCGTCGTCATGGCACTCGGAGTCGTGTTGTAGTAACCGCTCGTGTCGAGGACGATTGCGGAGGATGTCGAACATGAAGAGATTGCAGTTCAGATACACGCGTTCTGAGATCGGAAACTGGTCGACGATGAGAGAGTAGCAAGGAAATCGCGACAGACCTGCTATCGCAGCAAGGGATGCGAGTCCCCCCAAGTCGCTTTACCAGACGACTGGGACTCAACACCGTCTATCCCTATAATCTTCTACGTACGACTTTCGTAACGAATTGGACATCAGTACGACTTAACCAGCCGTGTAGGACAAGCAGTGACACTGTGATGGGCGTCAGACATGTCAAACACGTTAGTCGTGCGATGTGAAATGCGACATATATCACTCCGCTAGCAGCACCGCACCCTATCATATCTTTGGAATTCCCACTAACAGTATCCGACTTTCTTTCATTGAGGCATCAATCGCCGTACTGGTCACGATCGTACCGTACTATTGAAGAACCTGCGTAAAGGTACCCCAACGCTACCATAGCTTGACCGAATGACTTACTCCGCCTTACTGCTATGGAGATGCGCTCTGCACTCACACCGAATTGGGGTCACAATAAGCAAACATGTATGCCGGACTAACTATCACGACTTAATTGGGACACATGACGCTGACTCCATAGCAACGACGCACAGCTACATCTGTCCTGCAATCTTCACTCATCAACCAGTAGGCGTTATTACCGGAAGAGTACGTTTTGCTTGCTTCACTTGAAGGCGGTGTACATTGTTGAGCGCATCTGAACTACGTCTTCCCAAAACTTCGGACCAATATCACTTTACCGATGTTGTCTTTGCACAACCTACAGCAGCGACTTCATTGCACCTGCGCGAGCTACGTGGTGCATGCTTCCCCGATGCTTGCAGTCAATGCAAGCAGATACAATATTACGCGCATGCGGATGCAACCTTACGCCATGCTCACTACAGTTGGCCTCTGTAATGAGGTTGTACTCCATAGGCACTGCAAGCCGACATGTACAAAAAGGTGACTCCCGTGGCGGAACTGGGAAATCACCACAACAGTCTTCCCTCAAGGTTACTTCCTCGACATCCTTGAAAGTCCCCGCTGTCTCACGGCCGATCATTCCCTGCCATGCATCTCGAACTGGTTCTCGTGGGTCTCGCCGCCCTTACGGCAGCTATGCCACTCGATAAGAGGGGTGACGACTCCGCGAATCAAGCCCAAGATATCAACTACAAGGAATACGCCGGCTACCGCCCGTACTATCAGTACGGAGATTATTCTTCACCGGCCGAAGCGGAGGCAGCGAAGATGCAGCAAGGTACATTCTCTCGCCCTCCAACTTCCCGAATGAAAGCACTCCTAACGGTCCAGTAGAATCAGCGGCTACGAACATGAAGCGCGACGAACCCTTATCCAAGGAAGAGGTGTACGATAAGTACGACAAGTACGAGTCCTACGGCGTGTATTACGAGAATTACAATCCGTACCCTGCTTCTGTAGAAGCCGAAGCCGCGAAGATGAACGCCAAGATGGAAAAGCGCCATATCGTGGATATGCCCAAGGAGATGATGGATCAGATGGCCAACAGCGAGAAGCGTGACGAGCCCAAGGAGATTCAGGCTGCAGGGGATTCTTGGTACCAGTCTTACATGTAAGCTTCTTCTCCTCTTCCCTTCTTCTTCCGATGTCTCTCCCGTGGACATGCAGCCTTCTCTCCTCCTTTGTTCATTGCAATCATTCCCGTCTTCATGTGCTGGAACAACACTGACAAGATTCCCTTGTAGCCCCTACTCAAACTACGGCAAATACAGCGGTGCAGCTGAGGCTGAAGTCGCCAAAGCTGGATGCATCATGGCTGCGAGTGGCTGCGTTGAATGAGCCCTAGGCAAGGGCGATGGCTTGCTGCATGTGACGGAGTGAGGGATGATGCACACTGACGATTGCCATGTCTTTTGCGATGATGGTCGCGCTGTCGCTCGTACGTATGTAAAGCTGCTAGAGGGGTCGTAATGAAGGGATTGGAAATAAAAGTGTCGCTCTTTGTATGTGGCTCTTTAATGTGTGATGCTTGGTGAATTGACTTTATATTCTGGTCCGTTTGCCTGCTTGACTGGTAGTAGCATGAACTTCGATCACCCTTAGATTTTGGTATGATAACCTACTCATCCTATCCTTAGAAGTAACTCAACAATACTTTTGCCAAGTAGCAAAACTCTCTATAGGCTTGGTTGGTAATGGCAGGATGTAGCAATAAAGATTGGATCGACGTGATCGTAAAGGGTGAACACTCCACCTTCGCTGGGACTACTACACCCTCACTGCCAGGCTAGCCATGGTATTGGCTCGGTCGTTCGTGTCAATGCAGTCGTGCGTGGCTCATCGGGTACGCGCCATCGGGATGTGGAGCAGCCTGAGTACACTACACGGAACTACTCTTACGGGTGAACGTCTGGCGTTGGCGCATGGGTAACAAGGCCGCCCCTAGTAATACCCGATGACATATAGCATTACAGATATCGTTATGCGTGGGATGCATAGGATTCAGGATTCAGCAGCAGGATCTATTGATCTTGTTGGATCGATCGGCTGTCGCGTATGGCCGTATAGACGCTTGCTCCATCTTCCCATATCGAATATCGGTAACCTCGGCTCGAGTTGCATATGGCCCCAACAATGCACACACCCAGTCCCAGAGTTGCAGCGTGTAGTGCTAGCGAACCAAACGCAGTATGAATCGCATTCCAATACTACGTCTGAGAGGTTCGCCCATGTGCGCGTGGTCAAGTGTACAACACGAGATGAAGAAATATGGATAAATCAGCCACTCATATTATGAGAGTGACGTGCAGGGATCAGTGTAGAACGGCCCCCTCTCAAGACAAATGCAATTACGAACCAGGAAAGATGGGTTATCTCAAATCAGCGGACGACTCCTGGACCGTGCTCGCAGAAGCCAGCTAGAAGGCCTGTCATGGTTCAGTCCGTAACGTTAAACTGGGGGCAGGGGGTTGGTCGTGTCGACACGCCCGAATCGATGACGCACCCGAGACGAAAAGCCCACAGGTGCCTACCTCTGGTCCTAACAACGAACGTGTATGTATGCGCCGCAGATATTGAAACGCATTCTTCCGGTGGTAGTCGCATCTCTTCGTTTGCAAATGGTCCACTTGGCCAAGTTAGATGGTGATGGTTGTGCACTACCCTCGTGATGCACCCGCCGCCCATGTTTGTAGGCAACATCGTGGCACCAGGCTTAAGCGACCGGCGCACAGTCTCGCGCGAAAGGGCGAAGCCGGAGATTGGACGCAAGTGGTCGAATCGGAAAATAAGACATATGGGTTATATAGAAGCGCAATGTAGAGCTCATATACCTCGCGTGCGTCTAACGTGTCGCAACGTTGAACAGGGCGGGCGCCCCGCAGCATAGCGACCACCTGGCACACGACGGGTCCCGCCGTCAGGCTCGCCAGCCACAGCGCACCGGGCTCCACGGAGATGCGCTCGTGATGTGCAGAGCCGGTGTAGAGTTATACATCATATATGTGCATATGAGGCGCCTTACAGCGCTGTATGAGGATAGGCAACGTACAGCCTGGGCGGCGATCACAGTCCGCTCGAGGCTTGGTGGCATTGGAAGCTGCTTTGTGATGTCTGAATAATCAGCACCGGGTCTCGACGTGCAAGGATTGCCATGTGGGGAAGGACAGGATTCTGTGGCTTGCATCGGCCAACGTGCGGCCAGTGACTTGAGTGGGCCGACGAGTTTGATCGCGGTTTAATCGGACGTCGACGGGAGGCAAGCGTACGAATCGCAAGGGCGCCATTACATGGCCATGCTTCCGTCCCTTGTAGATGCGGCATGGAGAATGCAGCCATAGTATAGGCGGAGGGATAGGCCGCAGCAAGCACCTCTTGGGAGGCTTTCATACATCACCCACCGTCGTCATACCTCGTTTCTTGTCTCATCCAGCCCCGAGTTGTGTCGGCCTGGCTGCGTGCTGCTTCTCTGCTCCCGTCGCGCGTGCTGACGCTCAATCCACCTCCCCACATACCCAACTCGCGCTTTGATATAGAGACTAGCGCCCCCACTGGACTCCAAGCAAGGGCCGTAACTATCCTGTGGAGAAGTCGGAGCTTACCATTTCCCCTTCCTCGGCCGGCGGTCCGATCCAAGCACACGACGTTTGGACGTCTCGACGCCTGATTCTGCCTGCGATGTTGTTTTGGGGCCTTGGGTGCAGGCGCATATGAAATATTTCTTCTTCTGATCTTGAAGTTTGGAACCTGATGTAAGACTGACTGCCTCGGCGCTACGCGACAGCTCCACGACGGCAGGCAGTCGTCGAGAACATGGCCGACTCCGGCGCAACCGCAACCTCCATAGCCACGCCCTCCCACGCGCGCTTCGACAACGACGACTCGCTCCTGCTGGCTGAATTCGGCCTGCCTGAACTTCGAGCATCTCCGAATGCGACTGGCACTAGTCCGTCCAACATCATGGGCTCGTTTTCCGACTTCGACATGACGTTTGCGCAGAGCCAAGGATTCGCGTCCAATTTCGATGGCATACAACCAAAGATTGAGGCTGGATATGCGGACCACAGAGGCAGCGTCGGCAATATGAGCGAAGAGGGTATGAGTGGCGGCGGGAGTGCGCATCCAAATCGGATGAGCATTGGAGGAAGCCCCGGCCACGACGGAAACAACACCAGTCCCGAGAGCGCACCTGCCATGGGTATGCTCGCAATTGGCGAGTCGATGAATGATGCTTCGGCGCATGCCATGAACAGCGGCAATGACGGCACAAACCATTCGACCACATCGCGAAGGAGCAAAGACGATGCGCAAGATCCGCCACTTTGGAGCGAGATGAAGACAAAGGCTGGTAAGGAGAGGAAACGACTGCCTCTCGCTTGCATCGCATGTCGGAGGAAGAAGATTCGCTGCTCAGGCGAAAAGCCAGCCTGTAAACACTGCCTGCGGAGCCGGATACCGTGTGTTTACAAGGTCACCACTAGGAAGGCTGCACCGAGGACGGACTACATGGCGATGCTGGACAAGAGGCT